CGAAAGGGACGGCCGAATGGTACCCACCCACGTGCCATCCACACCCCACTCCATATGGGGTCAGGTGAGCTAGGCCTCTTAAGTTTGCAGATAACAGGAGGTAGGAAAACTAGGAGATTTAATAGCCAGCTCCTAGTTTTCCTATCTCCTGCTATCTGCAAACTTGGAGGCCTAACCCACCTGACCCCATATAAGAACATAAGAACATAAGAAAGGAGGAACACTGCAGCAGGCCTGTTGGCCCATACTAGGCAGGTCCTTTACAATTCATCCCACTAACAAAAATTTGACCAACCCAATTTTCAATGCTACCCAAGAAATAAGCTCTGATGCAAGTCCCACTCAAATCCAACCCCTCCCACTCATGTATTTATCCAACCTAATTTGAAACTACCTAAAGTCCTAGCCTCAATAACCCAAACTAGGTAGGACTGTTCCACTCATCTACTACCTATTTCCAAACCAATACTTTCCTATGTCCTTTCTAAATCTAAACTTATCTAATTTAAATCCATTACTGCGGGTTCTCTCTTGGAGAGATATCCTCAAGACCTTGTTTATTCCCCTTTATTAATACCTATCTTCCACTTATACACTTCAATCAGGTCTCCCCTCATTCTTCGTCTAACAAGTGAATGTAACTTAAGAGTCTTCAATCTTTCTTCATAAGGAAGATTTCTAATGCTATGTATTAATTTAGTCATCCTACGCTGAATGTTTTTAACGAATTTATGTCCATTCTGTAATATGGAGACCAGAATTGAGCTGCATAATCTAGGTGAGGCCTTTTCTAATGATGTATAAAAGCTGCAGTATGACCTCTGGACTTCTGTTGCTTACACTTCTTGATATAAATCCCAGTAATCTATTTGCCTTATTTCGTTACGCTTAGGCATTGCTGTCTTGGTTTAAGGTTGCTGCTTACATAACCCCAAGTCCTTTTCGCAATCCAGTATGGCTAAGTTCTACATTATTTTAACTTATAAATGCTAGGGTTATGGACACTCCGGGGCTTCAGAACCTTGCATTTATCTACATTGAACTGCATCTGCCACTTTTCTGACCAAGAGTAGAGTTTGTCTAAATCCTCCTGAAGTTACTAACATCTACGTTTGAATCAATTATCCTACCTATCTTCGTATCATCGGCGAATTTGCTCATATCACTAGTAATTCCTTCATCAAGATCATTGATATATATTATAAACAACAACGGGCCCAAGACTGATCCCTGTGGAACGCCACTTGTTACTGATCCCCACTCGGATTTAACACCATTTATGGACACTCTCTGCTTCCTGTCTGTGAGCCATGACTCGATCCACGGGTGGGGGGCATGTGGGTTGGTGGCATTCACCCGTGCTTCTCGCATTCTGAGAGAGGTGCCAGTGGGTGTCACTCACGCTACCATTCCCTGAGAAAATTATCCCCCTCATTCCTCCTGGTAGATAAGACATATAGGCAACTTTATTCCGAAACGTTTCGCCTACACAGTAGGCTTCTTCAGTCGAGCACAGAAAGTAAGCAGGAGCAGTAGAGATGCGAAGACGATGTAATCAGTCCATCACCCTTGAAGTCGTAGATTTGAGGTTGTCAGTCCCTCAGCCTGGAGAAGTTCTGTTCCAAAGTCTGGAACAAACTGAAGATCAAGCGACAGTGTCGAGATTTAAATACTATCGGAAGGAGAGGTGCAGAGTAGTAGTAGTGAGAATGTAGCCACTGGGAGGCCATGTCCCTCTCAGATCAAACAATTCTCACTTGAAAAAGTTGACCAAGAGAAAACACCTTGGTAAGGCAAGCATCTTTGGAAACATAGCCGTTAGGAAAATTGTGTATATGAGCTGCATCGACAAAATAGCATTTTTTGAAGGCTAGAAGCGTAGATAGTTTTAGGAGAATACCAGTTAAGCTCCCGCTTCACACTCGGAGGGCCCGGGTTCGATTCCCGGCGGGTGGAAACATTTCGACACGTTTCCTTACACCTGTTGTCCTGTTCACCTAGCAGCAAATAGGTACCTGGGTGTTAGTCGACTGGTGTGGGTCGCATCCTGGGGGACAAGATTGAGGACCCCAATGGAAATAAGTTAGACAGTCCTCGATGACGCACTGACTTTCTTGGGTTATTCTGGGTGGCTAACCCTCCGGGGTTAAAAATCCGAACGAAATCTTACCTGAACACCCGTGACTTGACTTAACCTCTGCCGCAGCCTGTTCTTTCTCTTCAGTTATCTTCTATATTATCTATACTTTTTCTGTCTTTTGCTTTTGTGAATTTTGTCCCAAGGGCCCACGGAGATTTTGTTGAGTGGGTGGAAAGGGACTTGTCTCGTGGGCTTTTTTTTTTTGTTCTGTGGAGGTAAGGAAAGAGGTGGTTGCCTTTTACCCATGGGCCAGTATCCCTCCTATAGTGCTTCTCTGTTATTTTGCAATACCGCTATTACTAATTATTTCAATGCAGTTACTGTCTCTGCCATTACTTCTACCACTTGTTTTGCCATTATCAATACTACTGCTACTTCCTCATTACTACTACTAACACTTCTGTAGTACTGCTACCAACAGCTCCTACTACTATTACTACTACTACTACTACTACTATTACTACTACTGTTACTACTACTATTACTACTACTACTACCACCAGCTACTACCTATACTACCACCACCACGACTACTACTTCTATTACTATCCACCAGCACCACCACCACTACTATTACTTACTACCACCAGCACACACCACACTACTATTATTACTATTACTATTACTACTACTACTACCACCACCACCACCACTACTACCAGCAAGCAGCAGCAGCACCACCACCACCACCACTACTACTACTACTACTACTACTACTACTACTACCACCACCACCACTACTACTATCACCACCAGCAGCAGCAGCAGCACAGCACCACTACTACTACTATTATTATTACTACTACTATTTCACACCATTGTCTTGTCCGCTTTTTTCTGGTCCAGCTGTGGTTGAACATTGGTCCAGGACGGACCTCAACATGATGTTAATTAAGGTACGAGTGTTTTATGTATTTGTTCATTATTCCAGTCCCGGTATGGTGATTTTTTTTCAATAATAATAATTAGTTAACAATGTAACTCCTTTGATTCTAAGAAACTGAAAATAAAATACACATTTGTATTCGTGAAAAATAAACCAGAAATCCATATTTTAAATTATATTTAGTTTAATATTTAGAAAAGGGCATAAAGTGACTAGGTTTTTAATATATTTTAATAATTCCACTTGCAACTGCGGTTGTAAAATACTTTTTTAGTTTAGAAATACAAACTTTTACACTTATTTCACAGGACCGAAAAACACTGCGAAGTTCACCTCTTCTCTTTAATAAAGAATATTTTAGTGAAGAATTTTCAAAGCACAATTGTTCTTACTTCCATTCAGTAACATTTAAACTTAAATTTAAAGAACATTTTCTTTAGTATTTGTTCAACTTTCAAATGAACCTGTAAATATATGTAATTATGGTATTATACTTTAGCTCTCTTTAATTGCTGAATAATAATAATAATAATAATAAATAATAATAATAATACTATTACCATTACTACTGCTACTATTACTACTACTGCTACTATTACTGCTACTATACACTACTATTACTATATATACTGCTACTATTACTACTACTGCTATATTACTACTACTGCTACTATTACTATACTACTACTGCTATTACTATTACTACTACTGCACACTATTACTACTACTGCTACTATTACTACTACTATTACTATTACTACTACTGCCACCACTATTACTACTACTACTATATTACTACTACTGCTATTACTACATTACTACTACTGCCACCACTATTATACTACTACTATTACTACTACTGCTATTACTAACTATTACTACTACTGCCACCACTATTACTACTACTCACTACTATTACTACTACTGCTATTACTAATACTACTACTGCCACCACTATTACTACTACTATTACTACTGCTATTACTATTACTACTACTGCCACCACTATTACTACTACTACTACTATTACTACTACTGCTATTACTATTACTACTACTGCCACCACTATTACTACTACTACTACTATTACTACTACTGCTATTACTATTACTACTACTGCCACCACTACTATTACTACTACTGCTACTATTACTACTACTATTACTACTGCCACCACTACTATTACTATTACTACTACTTACGATAATAGTAATACTACTAATAATTATAAAAATAATAGCAATAGTAATACAATAATGTATTCATGAAGAGCGCTAAGCCAGTAAGGGTGATTCAGCACTGCACTAAGAGGGTTTAACTGTGGCTACCCTGGGAATTTCTGCACATAATCCACAAACCTGTGACTCGTTTTAACATTTTGTAATATTTCCAGTTTTCTTTAACAAGCTGGATAATTACCAGATACCGTCATGTTTCTCTTGTTTCTGTCTTTGTTACTAAAACCAGGGAACAAGTGATGTCTCTTGTTTTAGTGCTAAACCATCAGATAATTCAACTAAGATCTACATTAACTTCTCTCATGATCACGTGATGGACAGTTTTCTCGGCATATAGATGGAATATTCAGGACACCAACTTCAGTGAGTTCGATAAGAGATAAGATTTTGTTGGGATGCTTAACCCTGGAGGTTAGCCACCCAGGATAACCCAAGAAAGTCAGTGCGTCATCCAGGACTGTCTCTTATTTCCATTAGGGATGAGACCCACTTCAGTCGACTAACACCCAGGCACATACTTGCTTACTAGGTGAACGGGGACAGCAGGTGTAAGGAAATACACCCCGTGTTTCCACCCGGCCGGGAATTGAACCACGGTCTGAGGTGAGAACGTTGTCTACCATGCCACGGGACACCGTGTTCACTGTGTTTCAGTGTTCAAGCCCATAGTGCCTTATATTTTTCCATTAACTGCTAAAATTAGGTCAGGAACGCTTACAAGTCTATCAAAACACACTTCTCTTAATTATTTTACTTTAATATACCAAATAACTACACAATGTGAAAAGATATAAATTTTTAACTTAATTATTGTTGCTATTATTATTATTATTATTACTATTATTATTATTATTGTTTACAGAAGCTTAAATGTTATTGGAAGACACTGATCCATATTTTCACTAGTGCACATTGGTTCCCTAATTGCAACTCAAACTGGAGTTATGGTAACATGTTGCAACATGACAAAGTAACTTTATGTATTTCAGAAACATTAGTAGCCTGAGTAAAGTGTTTCAGCCGCTGGAGGAAGAAGTTCCCTTCCGTTCTCATAATTCCCATTTATTCAGATACCATTTACTGTCTTTTGTATTTCAAATGCAGTATGCTTCTTACAACACCCATACGTATTTGTAAAAAAAAAAAAAAAAAAAAAAAAAAAAAAACTCGGAGGAAATAGATATGGTCAATATATATACTTAATTTTATAATATAAAATTGAAAGCAGTAAAAAAAAATAGCATCATAGATCGTATAATAACAAACCATAATAAAGAGTGGATTAACCAGTAGCCTGATCCTACCAGTGGTATCACAAATTATATTAGAATTCAAACCTTTGCATGACTAGTCCATAAGAATATATGACATGGTTTACATTTTCTTGATTGTATTCTAAGACAATACACTGTTTACAGTTGACAAGAACATTGTTACAATACAGATCTATGCACTGTGATCTATGCTTTGACACTGTCTTAAAAGTTGCATGGATCGATCATTGAATTAAGAAATCGATGCCCCTTTAGGAACTGTATAGAGAGAAAGTGAAAACTAACAAAACAATGCTTAACATGTCTCGTGTAAAGATGAATTCAGATGCCCTCAGTCCTTAAGGGAAGAGTATTTATAACCAGGTTCATTTTTAATGATTCTTAATTCTTCTAATGCCTTTTAAACAGCAAAAGGATTAGCAAGTTCTTTTTTTGTGATTTTAACTAAAATATATGATTACTGCATTCAGCACATACAATTATATAAGTTAATTTGAATAGCTATAGTCAGATTACTACTGTAGCCCTAACTTTGTATGCTTCTATCCCCAATGTAAATGGCCTTATAATCAAAGGCTTCATCAGTTAGTTTAACTATAATTTAAGGACAGTATTTTCACTATCTCTGGGGACTGACTAGCTAGGATAAGGACACTATTAGTCCTTCTATACACGTGTGGGAGTAGAACCAAGGAACTTATTATCTTCTGTATGAGGATGTCTTGCACAATTTGTACTGCTGCTGTTCATAACTCAAATTTCCAGAGGAGCTTAATTGTTCTATCACTGAATTTTCTTTTTAAAGTCAATCTGAATCCTGATTTTTCACAGGACACTCTAAATTTCTTAGCATTATTCAAGCTAAACTTTGTTTATAGCCCCTTAGTTCTTCCCCATTTAAGGCATAATATGATACACAGTTAAAAAATACATGTTTCTATACATATTTAGTTTTTATACAAATTATAAACAAAACGATTCTGTATTTTGATGCTTGTCATCATGCTGAGAAAAACGTGGATTTCAGATGCATAGATAAATGTTAGATCTTAAGCAAATGGGGTAAATGTTGATGGTAGCTGAGAGAAAACATCAACGGGAATGTCGTGACTACTGTCACTCACAGGAAGATAAGTGAGCGAGGGTGCAGGAGGAAAGTTGTCAACTACAGTAGTGAACTGAGTTGTTGTGCTCCCGTCATCAGCCAAGGAGGTACCCAGACCTGGTGAAGACGCACCAGTTGTTGAAGTTGTGCTCTGAGAAATAGTTGATGTATTAATTATCATAGTAATTAGTGGGATTTGTGTTGTGGTCTCACTTGTTATTGTCCTCATAACTAGTGGGATTTGTGTTGTGCTTTCACTAGTAACATTAGAAAATTCAGTATGAAAGTCATTTTGTCTTTTTTCAGTAAAGTTTTTAATGAACTGTTCGGGAACCACTTGTACAAACATGTCCGACATATCAGAAACAGACTGCAAGGAAGTGCTAAAAGTTGAATTATTTTCATTATGATTTGCTACGTTTATTGTCATGTCTCCGTCCGAGATAAAAGGAACAGCAAGACCTGTTAAGGTAGAGTCTTCGGCTTCCTCAACTTTATTTGGCATGGTCGTTTGTATAGTAGTTTGTTCTGAATTTTGAAGCGAATCTTGAAGTAAATCACGAAAGCCATTTTCTAATGTAGACTGCAGTGTGTGTGTTTGGGACGTTGTGTCAGAGAAATTGATGTTAGAATGTTCGAAGGTAGTATTAAGGAGAAAATTATTGCGTTCATCTTCCTCATACTCCGTTTTTGAATATGAATCCTGCAAAGTTTTATTAGTGCTTTTGAAAGTAGTATTCAAATTAGCAATGTTCCGCTGATCTGCGTCTGACTCAACTTGCAAATCTGTTTCTTGAAAAGTATCATGATTGTTTTCAAAAGTAGTATTTATAATTGAAGTATTCTGCACTTCCGCCTCTAACTCTTCAAATGTGCTTTGTAGAACAGCATTTAAGAGTTTCTCATCCAAGATTTCTGGCGATGGAATTTGTGAGGAGTCATGTAGTCTTGGATCTCGTGAAAGTTCTGGTGGAGGAAGAAACACGAGATTTTCCGGAGTCGTTCCTAGTAATGAGTCTTCGTTTAGGTCCGGTGGTGTCTGGTCCAGCTGGCTCCTCGGAGGCTGGAGAGGTTTCGGTAATGGACCAATGATTAGGACTGGCCTCTGAGGTGGGATGAAGGGAGAAGGTTCTATAGGTCCACTGGTGGTGTGCCGAGGTGGAGCTCCTAAGTCAGGTAAAGTTTCAGGTTGTGAGATACGCTGCGGAAGAGGTCCTACTATCAGCGGAGAGCTAGGGGAGACACTTACAAGATGGAAGACTTCCATATTGGCCCTGTGGAAAGTAATATATATTAATAATTTGGAATATTTTCTCCCATGAATAAAAAAAATTAAACAACTAACATTAAATGCTGAAATATAACACATACGTGTGACTAAAAAAATTACTGTGCTGAAGTAACTCAAGAAATACATTGCCTTGCAGCGCCTTGGTACTGGTAAAGGGCTCTTGATCCAGGCGATAGGAGGTACCCCTCTCCTTGGATCAAGCCGTATGAGCCCTACCGATTTATTGCTTCCCCATAAGCATAATATTTGTGGAAAATATTTGTTTTCAGAGTTACAATAAAAGTACAGTTAAGTATGTAGCACTAGGTAATACGAATGAATGAATTAGTTAGGGAAAATATCCGTGTTGTTATGACATGTAAGAATAATTCAGCCAGGCTAAGAAAACAGTGGAATGAAGAACTAATTGGGAATCGTATTTCAATAAAAATTTTGGTGAGAAAATTACACTTGCATAAAAACTGAGTCACAAGTCAACTTGATATTAGACCACCTCCCCCTCCCCCCCCCCAAAAAAAAAAAAACTTACAAAAGCTGTGCCAATAGTTTTCGGCCCTACTGGGTGGAGTGAACAAAAGAAAATAGTGTACCAAAATCTGGCCACTGGAAGAGGCTTAAAACTGGATCATTTCCAAGATGACCTCTGCTGATTCTGAAAATCAGGAAGGTGGATCCAGCTTCCTTATTATTAGGTGTAGAACAATGATTTTTCATATCGAACCTTGGCTTTCAACAGTCAAGGAATTCATTGGTGCCAAAAGAATTTCATTTCGACTTCTCCTGCCCTTGAAACAAAGACTGCGACCAACAATAGTGAATGACAGAGCCATTACCAATAACCCCATATTATTTCACTTACAAATCTGTTTAGAGGATTCGGTGAAAAATTTTAAGTCAAAATCATAATCAACTTTTAAAACCATACTAAACGGAATATTAAGAAACAGTTAACTGTCGCACAAGCAAAAGGTGCAAAGAATACAAACCTCTATCAAGAAGAACCTCGTGCTGAGTACATTGAACCGCACATCGAGGAATAACCTCTGCAGCAAGGAGTCATTCATGACACAATGCATGATATATGCCAGACCCATCTTGGTATGGAACTCATACCTAATCAAGCGTCACAAGAAACTACAAACAATGCAGAGGTTTGCCAATAGACTAGTCCCACAGCTTAGGGGTTTTAGGTATGAGAAGAGACCAAAGGAGCAAAACCTTATGTCTAAAGAACATAAGGACTAGCTAAGACGTGATAATGTACACACAGCTGAAAGGAACTGATAGGGTGGACAGGGACATGCTGAGTGGCGGAAAACAGGAACATGAGGGTACAGGTAATTCACGGGATGAATGGAAATATTTCTCCAACCTCAGAAAGATCAGGAAGTGGAACGACTTGGACATGAGAAATGGTAGTCAAAATCCATACACCGTTTTTAGAATAGGTATGATTGGGCACACGAATTCTCACACTCCTGTCCTTCCCTCCCCCCACCCTCCCTTCCCATCTCTCTCTTCATCCGTGTATGCTGCTGCACATATTAAGAGGCATACCACAATCCACCTTACTGCCTGACTTCTTAATGTTCATTACAACATGTACGAGCACTTCTTCTCTTAGGTAAGGTCTGAGCACGTGCCTGTGTTCTAGTACTGAGGGACTATTAACCTCTTAATAAGGCTGAGGGACTATTCAACTCAAAAATACTTCTACTGTTTCTGGTATTAAATTCTCTTGTACATGACTGAAGATGGCTCAGGCGAAACTTTTCGGCAATAAAAAATACCCAATTGTTGCACGTGTTTTATTCATCACCTTGACAGTATTGTATACCATGAATAATATTACAATAGTGATTTTAATAACAATAATCAATAAGTGTGCTTCCCACGCCATCAATCCTCGGACAGTGCATTCCACTCCTGCTGAATTTAGATCAAAATCCTCCTTCCTGGTAAGCCAGCTGATGGCCTTTTATCAAATGATCAAAATCATACGAAAAAAAAAAACACTTCTGGAAAACACAATGTTTCCCTCTCTCCTGACGAGCAGAACAACCATCTTCCCACCAGCGAACTCTTACCTGTAACCTTTACTGTCTGCCCGATACTGCGTTATCCTCAGCACACCGTCGGGGTCCACATACCCAAAGCGACCAGAGACGTGGCCTTGAGAGTCCCTCTCCTCGATCCTGAAGCTCTGGTGTTTTCCCGAACCTGCAGTAGAGTGAAAGGGGTGGATTAATCCGCATAAATACGATCGTGATTGTTGCAATTATTATGGATCTATATCACCACGTCATCAGAACCAGGTTTTTTTCAAACTTTTTGACAACACACAACTTTTCTGTTTTAAAATTAATTACTGAAACCTTAGATGTGATAAAAATGGGTGTGAAAACCGAAAAGTTGAAGTATGAGACACTAGTGCAACATTTGGGAATCCTCATTAAGGAAACGTTTTGCCAGCCAGTGACTTCGTCAGTCCAATACAGATCAATCAGTCTTGAGAAATGTACATTTCTCAAAATTGACAGACTGAACACATCGATTCTAGGCTGAGGGACTGATTACCTCATACTACAACTCGTCTTCCTTTATTCTCTGTACTGGACTGAAGAAGCCAATGGCTGGCGAAACGTTTCCTCAATAAATTTAGATTCCCAAATATTGCACAAGTGTCTCATTCTTCAACATGTCATAGATTAAAAGCATAATTCTCCCACTCATTAGCAAGGAAGCAGACACTACATTTTTAATTATCAACATAATTTTTTAAGAGTCTAGTCATAATTACAGAAGACATTACGAACACTGACACATCACATTATATGTAGCTTTTTACTGACTCTATTTTAGCCTTGACACGAAACATCTTTACAAAACATTATCTTGTTTGTTTACATGGAATAAAACACAAGACAGATTTAAATAACATTTAATAACATTAATAGCGTCATAATTCTCTTAAAACCAATGAACTAAACCTGGAAACAAGGATAACGTCTTGTACCAAGGCAGCGGTGTTTGGTCATCAGTTGTGTTTACAAGAGCTTACTTTTTTTTTTTTTTAGACTCGGTGGTTTTTACAAGGTGAAGTTTGGAGTTCTTACCATTATTTACAAGCTCAGAGCTGTTACCTACCTCGTCTTATTTACAAGCTCAGAGCTGTTACCTACCTCGTCTTATTTACAAGCTCAGAGCTGTTACTTACCTAGTCTTATTACAAGCTCAGAGCTGTTACCTACCTCGTCTTATTTACAAGCACAGAGCTGTTACCTACCTCGTCTTATTTACAAGCTCAGAGCTGTTACCTACCTCGTCTTATTTACAAGCTCAGAGCTGTTACTTACCTAGTCTTATTTACAAGCACAGAGCTGTTACCTACCTCGTCTTATTTACAAGCTCAGAGCTGTTACCTACCTCGTCTTATTTACAAGCTCAGAGCTGTTACCTACCTCGTCTTATTTACAAGCTCAGAGCTGTTACCTACCTCGTCTTATTTACAAGCTCAGAGCTGTTACCTACCTCGTCTTATTTACAAGCTCAGAGCTGTTACTTACCTCGTCTTATTTACAAGCTCAGAGCTGTTACCTACCTCGTCTTATTTACAAGCTCAGAGCTGTTACCTACCTCGTCTTATTTACAAGCTCAGAGCTGTTACCTACCTCGTCTTATTTACAAGCTCAGAGCTGTTACCTACCTCGTCTTATTTACAAGCCTTCCCAAACGTTATCTTCATTAAATCATCATTATTTTGTTCCATTTAAAATCATATATAAATGATGATAGGTGTTGCCTAACATGTTCGCATGGCGAGGAACACTTGATGGAGTGTACGTGTCTGTGCACACCAGAACACATTATAATTGGTTAAACATGTTTACATCATCGTAACAAGTAAACATTTTATTAAGAAACTGTCTTTCCTGCTGTGATTTCTTGTTGCTGTTTGACCCTCCAAGAGAATGGAGGGATCGGTGCCTTGATTCTGGCTCTTGATCCAGGAAAATGGAGCTACCCTCCCCTTTCTTAAACTTAATTTTCCTTCGTTTCCCAAGCGATGCATGACCCCCACGGTTTTAACGCTTCCCAGTGATTATGACAATCTTGACATGAAACAGGTTTTGCTCATGTTGTGAGAAGTTAATAATATTCTCGACATGTACAGGGTCTTGACCTGTTTTGTGTGTACTTGGGCTTGTTTAGTTCTCACCCGATTGTTGGGGTCGAGTCACAGCCCTTGCAGCTTAACTTATATTGACTGAATATACTGATTTTAAGCTCTCTAGGGCCTGATCATACCTACTCTTGGAACTGTGTATTATGTTAGTCTACACTATCTTTACATCAAATGCATTCCACTTCCTCATTACCCCAAGACTGAAAAAGTAGTTCCTAACGCCCATCTGCTTCCTTGGCTATTTATTTTTCCCTGTCTTTCTCTCTCATCGCATCTCTAACAATATGGCACTATTCCCTCAGTTTAATCCCTTGAGTGACTCACGAAATCGCAAGGACACGATTGCTAACAAACCACGGTACGGGTGGGGCTTGAACTCGCAGAAAGTGAGTCGTAAAAGTCCAGGTCAGTACGTAAGCCAACTGGCTCACCCGTCCATTGGTTTGTTTCCCTGGAGTATTTTGTACGTCATGTTTACATCTCACTGGGGACCTCCTGATACTTGGTAACAAAGATATAACTTTTCAAGTGCCTGAAAAAGTTCAATGTTGGATTAAATGTTATAGAAATAAAGGACTTCATTGCAGTCTTTCCTTTGTTTCCTAAGGAAACAAATTCATCTCTGGTTCCTCTGCTAATTTTGTTTTCTTCTGTTCATTTCTCTATTTTTCTAACTATGGCACTTTCAACTGTTTTTTTTTTCTTGGCGCCTCAGGGTGAACCATAAGTTCACTTCATTCTTTCCACTGATTATTCTTCTCTTGTGTAAATATTTCTGCTCTACCTCCGGCTGCTTTTCAGTTAAATGCACCATCATTTTATTTCTCGTCTTTCCTTCCAGTTCCCTTTCCCTCATTTAGAGTTTCCCTTATATCTGGGAGGACTTCCCTTTTGAAGTCTCGTTTCTTCCTACCTTTTGGTCAAAATATTTTCTGCAGAGATCTGAGGGGACTCTCATTTTCTATTTCACCTATGTCAGATTTGCTTAGGGTGAATACTTGGTCTAGCCTTGCTAGCTCATTCTCTCTCTCCTCTCTCTGGTTGTTATCCTGACATGTTGTCAGATAGTTTTCCATTATTACCTCCATCATTTTTGCCCTCCCGGTTTCTAGTCCCCATGAGACTTCAAATTCTCCTATACTATTTCCTTGTTAAATTTTCCAATGATCTGATTACAGGTGTCCCATAGCTAGCACACTAAGCTCACACACCGAGGTCCGTGGTTCGATCCCCAGTATAGGTGGAAACATTAGGACGAGTTTCCTTAAGGAACCTGCTGTTCCTGTTCACCTAGCAGTAAAATAGCTACTTGGGTCTTACTCGACTGGTGTGGGTAGCATCCTGGGGACAAAACTGACCTAATTTGCCCGAAATGCTTGTAAAAGTAAAAGATTATTTTTATGATCAGTAGTTTTGCGTTGCTCCTCATGATCTGATATCCAGATGGGAAACCACATCAGTTATCATTGTGAGTTTTTTCTCTGTGGAATGTATGTCTGGCGATGCCTTTGATATTTGCTTCTTCTATTCACCACCCTTGTATGTTATCCCATCTACATTTCAGTATATCATGCTTTCAGTTTTTTCCATCTCTGTATTTCCGTGTTCGAGTATCATGTTTCCTGGTCCTAGCATGTCAGTCAAGTAAGTTGTCTGGCAAATTTGTGACATAAGATTGTGTTGATGTAATCTTAATGAAGAATCCCCTCAAGGGAGGTTCCTTGATGCTGGTGAGGGGCTCTTGATCTAGGGAATTGGATCTGTGCTCCAGTTCCCTGAATTGAGCCTGGATACCTTCCATCCCCCCCACATGCGCTGTATAATCCTACGGGTTTAGCGCTCCCCCACAATTATAATAATTAGTGGAGAATCCCCAATCTTAAATGGCAGTTAATTTCTTAGTACTGGCTGTGTGTACTCACCTTTTTGTGGTTGCAGGGGTCAAGTCATAGCTCCTGGCCCCGCATCTTCACTGATCGCTACTAGGTCCTCCTTAACCCTGCTCCATGTGCTTTATCAAACCTCGTCTTAAAACTATGTATGGTTCCTGCCTCCACCACGTCACTTTCCAGATTATTCCACTTGATGACAACTCTATGACTGAAGAAATACTTCCTAACATCCCTTTGACTCATCTGAGTCTTCAACTTTCAATTGTGACCTCTTGTTTCTGTGTCCCATCTCTGAAACTTCCTGTCTCTGTCCATTTCGTCAATTCCTCGCAGTATTTTATATGTCGTTATCATGTCTCCCCTGACCCTCCTGTCCTCCATTGTCGTCAGGCCGATTTCCCTTAACCTTTCTTCGCAGGACAATTTCCTTAGCTCTGGAACTAGTCTTGTTGCAAACCTTTATACTTTCTCTAATTTCTTTACGTGCTTGACCAGATGTGGGCTCCAAACTCATGCTACATACTGTAATATGCGCCTAACGTACACGGTGTACAGAGTCTTGAACGATTCCTTACTGAGGTATCGGAACGCTATTCTCAGGTTTGCCAGGCGCCCATATGCTGCAGCAGTTTTCTGGTTGATGTGCGCCTCAGGAGATGTGCTCGGTATTATACTCACCCCAAGATCTTTTTTCTTGAGTGAGGTTTGGTGTCTTTGGCCACCTAGACTATGCTCTGCCGGTGGTCTTCTTTGCCCTTCCTCGATCTTCATGACTTTACATTTGGTGGGGTTAAATTCAAGGAGCCAGTTGGTGGATCAGGCTTGCAGTCTGTTCAGATCCCTTTGTAGTCCAGCCTGATCCTCATCTGATTTAATTCTCCTCATTAACTTCACATCATCTGCAAACAGGGACACTTCTGAGTCTATCCTTTCCGTCATGTCATTCAAATATACCAATACATCCTGGCAGGTATTCTCTGATCCACTGCAGTACCCTTCTTGTTATGTGTGCCTGATCCTCTAGCTTTTGCAATAATCACTTATGAGGAAGTGTGTTGAAGGTCTTCTTGCAGACCAAGAAAATGCAATCTACCAACCCCTCTCTCGTGTCGTGTGTGTGTGTGTGTGTGTGTGTGTGTGTGTGTGTGTGTGTGTGTGTGGTGGGTGGTGTGTTCAGGTTTGTAAGCGGACGACTTTCCGGCAGAAATTCATCTGTTAATGTGATTCATGTCTGTGTTGAAGGCAAGTGTTGAGAGAATGGAGGGAGAGTCCAGGTGAGTGAAAGAGGCAGCAGTTAGTGATGTACAGGTACACTGTACACTGTCAAGGACTGTAAACCCGCAGCTTTCCATGAACTATGCTGCGCTATGTTGACAAACGTCCATTTACTGGTTTTAACCTGACTGTACAAAGTGACCATCATCTACGTCTATGTGCTAGTCATGGACATGACTGTGCATCAGTATTGTGAAGAGAGGGAGTGGGAGGCCAGGGGAGAGGGATTGGGTGATGTCTGGGACTCACAACTAACACTCAAGTAAGACTAAACACATTGCTCACTGCCCAACTCATTCACACACCAGATCAGAACGTTGCTTGGGCTTGTCTATACACCAAGTTGCTAGACGTAGGAAGTTTTTAGAATGTTCTTATTTGTGGGTGAGTATACTGTCTAAGAGTTTTTCATTTCCGAACCTTAAATGACGAACAGAGTAGTTTTCTGTAAGCAGGAAACGTCCAGAAACAAACGCTGAGCATTGCTCAAGAACACAAACGGTAGTAGCTAGTGGTAGTAGTAGTGGTGGTGGTAGTAGCAGTAGTAGTAGTAGTAGCAAAAGTGCAACAGTGATAAAGGTGGCAGTAAAAAGGTAGTAGTGGTAGTGGAAAACGGGGGCACAGTGGAGTGTAAGCGAAGAAATAATGGTAGTGCAAAAACTGGCTAGTTACTCTGCAGGAGGCGTCCTGCAGAGTAACTGTGTTTAGTCCCTCCCAGGACGCGTCCTGTAGAGTGTGTTTAGCCCCTCCCAGGACGCGTCCTGCAGGGTAGCTGTGTATAGCCCCTCCCAAGACGCGTCCTGCAGAGTAACCGTGTTTAGTCCCTCCCAGGACGCGTCTTGCAGGGCACACTTCCAGGGGAAAGTCTATTGATAGTGAAACTCCACCTAGTGCCTCTAGAAGGCGGTGTTGCGTGGAGCCGTGTTGCTGCTGCTATGACCTACTCCATTAGTAAACGCAGTACGTATATAAGAGAGAAGTGCACTTCACACCTTTGTAGTGGTGTGTCATGCATCACACATCCACCGTTAATTTAAAATTGACATAGCTCAAAGTAAAAGTCAGGCTTTCTTGTATAGCCCGTTAGCACTAAAAGTTTGAAGCCTACCAGAGAATGCATTTCCCAGTAATTATTCTGAATACAATAATTCAGGTTTTCAAAAATTCCACTAAAGTAATATATTTCCATTCCTTAGTGTTAATAGTTTGAAGCCGCTATTACGAAGCATTTTTGATTCACTGAACAAAAATAAGTCATTATTAAATAAAATGTCATATTGTGATAGTATATGTAGCGTAATAAATAGTGAACCTTGCTTTCTGGACATCACACCAGGGCTAAAAATTTGAAGCTGATTAGAAGAGTTATTCTTCAGTTATTGCAAGGATTCCAGCGATTCCATTTTCTTTATAATTTATACTAGACAAATTTGCCTCCACATAAAGTAAACTATATGGGTACTATCCTGGCCATAAGATGCATCAGCCATTGAAGATGTCAAGGAGAGGTAGACTCAAATATATTTCACGAGACGTAAAGGACTCTGAATGTCACACATTATTTTACACAAAAATAGCAGATATGCCCCTACAGACTTGAATTTTAATTTCTGCCGTCGTCGAATTAAGAGGCGCCTCTTTTAAAGGTCTGAAGACAAGAAGCGAAGGGCTTAGGAAGTTACTAAAGAGATCCCACGATGCACGAAATGAGTTCAGCAACTTTGCTCATTGGACGCCCGCACCTGCCGATTGTTCCTAGAATTTTGCTCTAGTTACCATGCACCAGCGGTGAAAGATTCAAGGCTATCGTATGAAGCCTTTTCGGGTTATGAGTGGAACAAAAGCAGATCAGCTGGAGGAAAGAAAAAGAAAAGAAAATCTGTCAGCCACTTTAAGATTTCATTTCGGGGATACATAACAGATTATACCAAGAAACAGTAATACTAGGCTGGGTCCTGTTGCAAAGCTGGCAATGAATGTCTATAAGGCAATCAACAATTTTTTCCGTTGCGGAGACCGGCGGTGCTTGGCCCTAAGATTGCGATAAACATCCAAGGCGTGAATGCGTCACGAAGGGCACCGTAATGTGCGTAGTCCCTCCCGCTGAAGAACAAAGACAACAGTGAAGTCCCCGTTCATAGACTATTGATTATTGACAATCTCCAGGAACACTAGAAATTAATCTAGTCCTCATGTGAGTGAACGAAATTCCGCAGTAAAGCTAATCACGAGTGTAAATCAACTACTGTTACGCATTTCCGTATCGCTAACTCAAGGTGAACTCACAAACGAGAATAGTGAAGTGACGATGGTGTGAAGACGGCTTGAACGAGTGATTAAGAGCGCTAGTGTCACAAACATTTCCGAGTGACTATCATTCAACGTCGATAAAACATCGAGTGGTTTCAAGACACCTCGTTCAAGACACCGATATCGGCCTAAGCGGTGCAATCTACGCCACAGGCTCTCGTTATATGAGCAAGGTAGATCATATTTTCACTTGCATCAGGCTGATATGTACTGTAGTACGTAGGTCGACACAAGGTGAATAGGTCTACTCTTACTAGGCCATGATATAAGAACCAACACCCAATCACATGGATGATTATCTCTCTATACTCCAGTTATTCTGATATACTGGAAAACATTTTAGAGAAAGTGAATACTCAACAGTTCATCATTACATTATTCAACAGCCACTGTTGGTGAACTAAACCCAATTCGATTTCCAGGGAGAGGCTACTGGAAAATCTGAGCTGTTAACGAGGATAAGTACCCCTTTGACATATTTCTTATAGCATGTTAACAGGTCTTATCATTCAAGTTTCCCTCACCTAATATGTTATACCTAATTGATTATACCTAATATGTTATACCTAATTGATTATACCTAATATGTCATACCTAATAGATTTTACCGAGTTCGATTTCTCCTTCATGGGTCGTCACCAACAGACAAATGTTAGACTATTCACCAGCACATGTTCACCTACTCACCAACACACACTCGCTTACTCACCAGTATCATAGGAGAAAGAGTAGGTTCCGTCAGTTCGGAAGATGAAGTGGTTGTCCTCCTCTGCTTCCGGGTAGTTCCGCAGCTCCGCACTCACTCCCAGGCAAGCCCACGCTATCATACACGCCCACAGCCACGCCCTCGTCCACCTCCCCAAGAGTGGAAGGCTCGACCGTCTCAGGTAGTGTCCCGCCGATTGCTACAGAACATAGAGATATACATCGAGTTTCCGAACTGTCGAATAACTGAACAATCAATGTAAATGTGTTACAGGTCCCTTTTTGTGCTATCTTCCAACACGATAATGCACCAATTCATACCACTAGAGTTGTTCAAAACTGGCATAAAGAATATGAAAGTGAAGTGGGACACCTGGATTGTCCCCTTACAATAGCCTAATCATATTAAATATTATGGAGCATCTGTGGAATCAACTCGAACAGAAAGGCAGGAACCGATTTCCTCCACCGTCGTCTTTGGAAGAGTTAGAACAGGTTTTGCTCGAGGAATTACTCAAAATTCCCCTGGATACTGTTCAAATGCTATCTGAATCAATTCCTCAACAAACTGGTGCTGTTTTAGCTGCAAACGGAGAAGCAACTCCAAATTGAAAATAAAAAAAAATATAAGAGCAAAGCGTTCGTATTATTTTGTGCAACTCCTGCAATAAGATCATTGTAAACAGATATCACAGTATGAAAATAACCAAATAACTACAATAAAAAATAGCGAAATTTCTAGTTTATATATATATATATATTATATATATATATATATATATATATATATATATATATATATATATATATAATATATATTATATATATATATACACACACATACATACATAATGTATGTATGTATAGTTACACTACCGTTTACCCTGCACAGTGAACTTGCGTTGAAAAGCTGAAGACGACAGCATGAGATGTTCTCAAGCTTAAAACGACAACTTGGAGTTGAAAAGCAACACCCTGACCCACGCTTAGCTTTAAGACAGCCAGGCTCAGTATTTCAATAAAGCTATGGACTACGTATTTTTGGCAGTAGCTCGGTAATATTTAGCAAACAGTTCTTTTAGTCAATCCAAATTTTTTTTAGAGGTTTATCACTTTAAGTAACAAACAAATTAAAAATAATTAGAATCCAGACTACATTCTTCTTACAAAAAAAAATAATGATGCAAAGTAACAAACATTAGTTCTCAGATTAGTGCAAAGAATAATTAGTATCTATTAAACGAGTGAACAAAACAATGGCGTCTTGGGTAGAAGTTACTGCACATTTATGCTGTTTAACTCTTCTCTCGAGTTAGTGAAACCAAAACACCATTTGTAAAAGTATATGTTTTTTTTTGTTAAAAAATACTGCATAATTCAAGGAATGTTTTGTTTAAAGTTTGTTTTTATGAGTTTTGTAAGTTGTCAGAAATTTCAAATTTCACCGGATAACAATTTTGAATTTGATATATTTGGGGCACAAATGGAGGGTTAAAAGAAAAAATATAGCCATTTGAAGACAAAAAAAGAAGTTTATCTGCGATTATCTGGGAAATAGTTATTTGAACATTTACAGTTGTAAGTAAGCTTATTCAGGTATACACAAATACAGTTACAGAGAAATCATACATAGCAGCTATGTGTAGATTACCCAGGAGAACCCAAAAGAGTCAGACACAGTGAGTTATTTCCATTGGGTCCTTGTAATTATTATTTGTATATGTAAAAACAGTTACAATAAAAGTAGATATACTAGGGGATGGAGATAAAATTCATTGACATCAAAGACAGGATCGGGTTGTAAACTTACTGTCCTCCCTTTCTGTAGCCTTATTCATAAGGTACATTTTGGCTCTCTTCTTCAACTGGATCATGATGCTATGACAGACTGACATGTGCAGGCAGTTTATTCAACTCTTTTATTGCGGTACAGAAAAAAGTGTTTGAAGCCTGACCACTGATTCTAGGTACAGTAGTTATTCTCCCTTCCCCTAGTTCTATAATTGCACTGGTTCCCGGACTTAACAAAATTGACAGTAAGATATTGGGGACACTAGTTGTGAGCAATTTTATAAACGTATTTAGCTTTAGTTGTTTTACTCTGTCTTCAATATTCAGTATATCCAGTTGTTGTAATTCCTGGCCTACATGTTCTCTTGGACCCAGGTCCAGAATGTGTCTCACCATTTTGATCTGGGTGATTTGTAGCTTATCTTTCATTTTTTTTGTTAAGGCAGAGTACTACTGTATGAGAGCTCCACAGGGTCCTGTGAGCCTTCGTTTGTAGACACTGTGCCTGTCTGTAGAAGAACTTTAATCTGGCATTCACTTTCTCTACTTTAATGTTTCTTATTAATTCTCCTGACATGCTTGGGTCAAAAGGAATTCCCAGATATTTCACGGAATTTACTGTAATAATAGGTTCCCCATTACACTGGACAAAAATTATTTATCCTTTTAAATTTATGCTTCGTGCCAAAGAGTATAGCTTCCGTTTTCCCGAAGTGTAGTGATAGTTTGTTGTCTACCAGCCATTTGCTGCAGGACTCTAGTTCTAGTGATAGTACAATAACAATGTCTTGTGGGTGTTTACCTGATAATAACAGAGCAAGAAGATTTACGTCTTTGAAGAGTGGGGGGGGGGAGGGTTATTATTTAAAAATCATAAAAAATCTTTCTGATATTAGATGAAAAGTGATTGTTCTTCAATTCTATGCCTTTATTTTGATCAAAGTCGTACTCAAAATATATTTTGTATTATTTGTTTTTATCTAAATATTTGAAAAAAATTATCTTCAATTTCCAGTTTATAAAACAAGATGATTTATTTTCACACTTTCTTGTGCCTGGAAAATTCAATTAACTGTGGTAGGCCTGGTAGGCAAAGGTCTCGCTTCACACGCTGAGGGTCCGGGTTCGATTCTCGGCAAGGGTGGAAACATTGGGCGTGTTTCTTTATTCTTGTTGTCCCTATTCACTCGTCAGTAAAATGGGTACCTGGGTGTTAGTCGACTGGTGTGGGCTGCATCCTGGGACAAAATTGACCTAATCTTCCCGAAATGTTCAGCATAACAAATGTCAGCTAGGGCTGTATACCATGCACATGTAGAAATAGATATTATTATTATTATTATTATTATTATTATTTTTATTATTATTTTTATTATTATTATTATTATTATTTTATTATTATTATTATTATTTTATTATTATTATTATTATTTTATTATTATTTTTATTATTATTATTATTATTATTATTATTATTATTATTATTTTTATTATTATTTTTATTATTATTATTATTATTATTATTTTATTATTATTATTATTATTATTATTATTATTATTATTATTATTATTCACTCTTCCGTTAAAAATTTCCTATGTTCAGTTTTCCTGGCATCTGCCCAAGTTCTATCGTCTCGATTTTTTTCATTGATTAAACTTTCACAGTATATTCTTATGTGTATACACTTTCAGTAAAAAAAATAAAGTACAGGCAAAAAAAATTTGTCACACGTCGAGGTCTGGTCATGAAGCGGGACGCCGCGGGGGCGTTGACCCCCAGAAAACCCTCCAGGTATACACAATTTCCCCCTCCCAAACTATACACTCAAAAACAAACTTAAATACAATTTGCTTAACCTGTGTGTGATTAGTTGAGTAATGGCTGTGTATATATATAAACATACCTGTATATTATGTTGATTTACAATACACATTACATTTAAATACTATACCAGACCATTGGATATGTCTCTCTAGAAACGGAATAACAATATTTACTTCACTTTTCATAATGAACTTCATGAAATTTATCCTCAGGTGAGTCATCATAACTCAATACGAGGCTGCATAAAGAGTTTATTATAAATATGCTTCAACATTTGGTATTTGGAGGTACGAGGCTTTTGAGAATTTTAGTCTGAAATTATTTCATATACATTTCACAAATAACCCATATTTTTTAGAGGAAAATGTACACGGCATTTCAGTTCAACTGGACCATTACTTAATGATGGTCATTATTTGTGAACTGTTCCAGCAATGGTACTGTAAGTCTTATTCTTCATGTATAAATTACTTAGTACACACAGCAAAGGATTTCCCATAGCCATACCAAATTTCTGTGAGTGGGAGCAAATTTTAATAGTTATGCATCATGTAAACAAATCAATTATTTAACTGGTGACCGATACAGTAACATCAGCACTAAACAGATGTATGTTTGCAGCTGTGTGATCCGTGAATGTTATCCTGATATTACAAAACTGCAGCTCACTGTACCTTAGTGTAAGTGATGGGAATAGTACAGCGTGCGTATCTGTGCATGCATGTAAAGCACTTATGTGTCTGTGCATGTGCTTGTGTGTGTAAGATGCGAATGTGTGTGTATTCTTATATGCAGGTACTCGCCTATTTGTAGTTGCAGGGGTCGAGACTCAGCTCCTGGCTCCGCCTCTTCACTGATCGCTACTAGGTCCTCTCTTTCTCCCTACTCCTTGAGCGTATTTATGTATGTATGTATGTATAGATACGTGCATGCATATACATACGTGCCCATATGTTTACACATTCGTGTGTGTGTGTATGTGTGTGTTATTATATATATATAATATATATATATATATATATATATATATATATATATATATATATAATATATATATATATATATATATATATATGTGTGTGTGTGTGTGTGTAAAAATATGTGCACATATGTATATGCATGCACATATCTATACATACACAAGCACACAGATATGCACAAGACTGCATAAGCACACAAATAAATATACACATGCATAGATATATCAAAATCTACATGTATACAACATACATACATATACAGTCATACATCTATACATGTGTGTGTGTGTGTGTTTGCATTTGTAAATATATATGTGTATGAGAATGTAGTATACATATGTGCATATAAGCATGCAAAGATGTGTGTGTGTGTTAATGTACTCACCGATTTGTGTTTACGTGAGAAGATTTAGTTGTTTATAATATAAAACTAAGAGTGGGCGATACTTGGCGTGTGATTCCCGCAGTGTTGTGACTTGAAAACTGTGTTGATCACGCTGCCTTGTGTTTCCACTGTGTAATTATCATACAGTAGGGTAGCAGAACACTACTGATGTATCTAATCTTGTTAAAAGCAATGTTAATCTGTATTTGTCTTCTTTGGT